GCCAGCGCCAGTAGGTTGGAGGCCATCGCTAGTAGGTTGGAGGCCATCGCTATTACGGCCATCGCGAATATGTTTTTCATGTTTTTTCTTACATTAGTTTCTTTTTAGTGAGAAGCTCTGCTGGGACCTCGTCGATTCAATGTCATTCGAGGTGTCGAGGTCTATTCATTTGTGCTCAGTGGAGACCAGCTCGATGTGAGTGGGCATCTCGAGCCATGGTGAGTGGGATGTGTCAAGGGCAGCTCCACAGGATATTCTATTTTCCAAGAGTAAAATTTAAGTGTCATGTCTACTCCTCGTAGCACATGTCCGACATAGGCGGGTGAGACAGCAATGAAACTCTCTAGGGTTACTCGCCTGCGGATCTCTTCTTCTGGGTATGTCATTTCTAAGTGTCCTTCAAATGAGATTACGATGCTTATTGAATGTTTTATTTTTATTCATTAATTTGTAGAACAACGCAGAAGCAGACTTCGTTCGAACTTACTTTCATTACAATCGAGCGGACTTGGCAGACATGTTTAAGCCTTGGCAATTGCTGATCTGTGCGGAGGATGTGCAGATTGACTACTCTGCCATTGGTTTCCTCGAGCAGGACACGGTGTATGAATCGCCATTAGGTTGGAGGCCATTGTTTGTAGGTCTATTTTGCAGTGTATTGCTTCACCCATGCTCTTAGACGCGATCAGTTCTCAGTTTTGGAACGGAATAAGTGAGTCCCACTCGTCCCAATTGGTGTCAGATGCTCTGCAGGACTGGGGGGATGCCCGGGATGCCTCCGGCCGGCGCTGGCGCAAGGTGGTTGATGTCAGGCGTCGATGTCAGACGTGTACGAACATCCTCAAGACGTGCAAAAGACATTTCAAGACGTGTTAAAAACGTCGGACACCAAGTAGCTGCGTAGCTTCAAGGCTACTAGGAACAAGTGCCTTACTAGTAGTAACAAGTGCCTTACTAGTAGCTTCACACCCAACTTGTCTTCATCTTACGAAGCTTTTTCGCCGTAAGTCTCCGCTGGAGGTCTTGCCCCATCGCCACAGAGGCTCGGACTGGTGAGCTCCTGCCGGTGTCGTGTCGCGTGCAGCTTGCAGGGAGAGACAAACTGGATTGGATCGAAAGGAGGGAAAACCGAAAACGGTAGGTTTGAGATACAAGGGAATTCTTTTGGTTGGCCATTCTTGTTCTTCAATCTCTCAAACCAGCCGGTTAGGAAGACCGAGCCTGGACTCGCAAACAGGTCAAGAGGAGGCGATCGTGGTAGACCTCCCCCCCAAAAAAAGTAAGAGAGGCTTATGTGGAAGTTTCTTGGCACTTGTTACTAGTAGCTTCTTGTTACTAGTAGTAAGGCACTTGTTACTACTAGCGTGGCACTTGTTACCAGCGGTTTTCTTCCTTCCAGATGGGACATCTTAGGACAGTCCCGACTCAGTCTGCTTTCCAAAGAGACTCTGCTCGCTCTGCTCGTGGCTCTTCCAGCAACGGGCTTCCACACCACGGCCAGCGAGGCGCCAGAGTGAAGCCGGAAAGCCGTGGCGACATACGAAGCCTTGCTAGCGCACTCTCTTTAAACGGGTTTAGATTGGTTTCGTCTTTTGACCCTTGTTTCGTGAACACTTCTAATGTCCAAGTTTGTAATATCCATCTGTCTTTTTCTACCCACAACCAGCAGAGGAGTGCTTTTGGATTCTCTCGAAAAAACCTAATGGGTGCCCAACCGTCAAATCTCAAAAGAGAGACTTTCAAGTCTTGACGCTATTAGGTTGGAGGCCATTGCTATTAGATTGCTCGTGCTTGGAGGCTATTTGCCAGCGCGTCTTGGACAAGACTCAAAAGACATTTACTCAGACTTAAGTCGATGTCTTACGAGCCTTGCGGAGGTCAACATGAGTGAAGCGCCCAAGAAGAGCTCCTGGGCGTTTGAGAGCGTCACCCAAAAAGCAAGATGTTCAAAGTCTCCACCCTGAGATTTGCGCGGTTTGCACCCTGTGGGGCATGCTTTTGCATCATATTCTTGAATAAGCCCAACGTTGCTTGTCTCAGGGCCCCTCCAAGTCCAGTGGGTAGGTTCCTGTGAGCTTTGGACAATGAGAATCCGGTCAGGCCGCCAGGCTTTTTGTGCTTGTAGCCTCAGGTTATGAAGAAGTACATGGCAAAGCAACTCGGCATATTTGCGCCAACTGCATGCCGACATCTAGCTAGCTTTTGCTGTGGTCCATGATTTTCCGTGCTTGAGCATCTTATTGTAAAGGCAAGTGCCCGCGTCTAGAATCTCAATGCACTGCTGCGGATGATCTACCGGAATTCTGAAAAGCTCAATGTGTGTCTTTGCGTGTTCCAAGGTTCCAGCTCGACCTGTCATGGTAAGTTGCATATAATTCTGGAGAGGTTTTCAACTTTCAAGGGTCTATTTCATGCTTTGCGCAGAGCATCACTTGCAGCTCATTGAGCGTCTTGATCACTGATGATCACTGCTCACATTGATTTCGACATTTCACTGGATCATTCCACTACCACTACCACTACCACTACCACTACTACTACTACTACCACTACGACTACTCCTACTCTATTTTGAGAATGAGTTCCCATCGAATGATTGGCCGCTCCAGATTCCTGCGGGGCCTGTGATCGACAGCAAAGGGTTGGCGGTGCAGACGGGCAGTGGGGCACCACGAGAGCGACCCAAGAAGACTTACGAAGAGGTGCATGGCAAGGTGCCCAGTACGAGGGAGCAGCTTCTGTAGTCTGTAGTTTAGGATGTTGCATAGGTTGTATCAGGAAGTCAAGCAGTACATTTGGTGCAGAATACAGGCGACCTCACATTGTGTGAGTTCGGTGCAATTGTTGCCAGACGGTGTGTATGATTTGTGTTTCACCATGCATTCTTGGAACTTTTTTTCTGGAACATAATACTCCCATCGCTATTAGGTTAGAGGCCATCGCTGCTATTTGTTTTAACATGATTCAATGGGAGTCAGAGACCGAAAGATGGCAGTTTCTCGCACAGATGCCTGGTGGTCCAGTCATCGACGAAGAGGGCTTGGCTGTGCAATCGACCGGAGAGCCTTTGCCCCTCGTCCAACATGTTCCCCCGTCGCACTTTCAGTTTGGACAGAACGAAGATACAGGTCGGTATCTGACGTAGGTTAGACAGGGAGATAAATACTACATACAGCAAAAACAGAATCCGTGGCTGTCACTGAGGTCCAAGGAAGCATCTCCATTGCGATGACTTCGAGTGAGTCGGCTCACTAGCAAGTCCCCAAGTCAGACTTTAAAGTTTATGAAGGCCTTCTAGCCCAGTGCTGGGGAAGTGACTCGAGGAGCAGACTGGGCCAAGGTCGTTCTGCTAAGCAGATTCGAGACCTTTGTGAAGCATCAAAAGTGAGATTGTTGCAGTTCTGGTCCCGAGGATCCGAGCGACGTCCAGTAAACGGATCGCGCTGTCGAAGTTCAACATTTTGGGCTTCAGACGGCATCAGGTCGATCAGATGGTAAAATTGCGCTGAGTACGTGCTAAGTCAGGCGACACGTGAACTGACACGATCGTTGATCTTCCACACCAAGCGAATCAGCGAGGGATCATGCTTCCTACCCCTCGGCATCTCACCAGTCTGTAGACTTTTGATTCTTGGTATCGTGGTTCTGTAAGGGATCTTCAGAATTTGTTTGTTGTGTTTTTTTGTTTTTTGCTGGATTATTTTTCAGGCTTTGCTGGCTGATCTCCCCTCCTTGTTCCATTGCTGATCCCATGCGAGGCGCTCAACGCCGCCTTGCCTGCTGAACGAGCCAAGGCACTCACATATATTTATATGGGCTTGTCTTTTTTTTAGGTGTCCAGTTTATGTAGGACTGGGATGTTCGACTTAGGCGAAGCATACCCCGAAGCATACCCCCGAAGCATACCCTGAAGCATACCCTCTGGAAATGCTACTACTTTAGTCTTCACACTGCGCGAAGCATACCCCGAAGCATACCCCCGAAGCATACCTCCGAAGCATACCCCATAGTCAAACATCCCGGCCCGGGAACCTTAAAAAAATACAAACCCATATGAACATGTTATATATGTTACTAAATTATACATTATATACATATATAATCATATATATATATGTACACATACACATAGTACTTACATCAGAATTCAGCATTTCCCATAGCCTCCATAAGTTTTCGTAGTGCGTGAGCTGGAGTCCAATATGTTTCATCGTGTTCTAAGTCTTTTCCACAAACGAACTCAAAATCAGGAACCAAACACGCCATCAGCTCGTCTCTCAGCTCCGAAGTACGCCGAGATACACCGAGGTTTCGATATGTGATGCCCTTTACATGCCCAGTATCTCGGGCGTTCCTTATTGACTTGATCCATTCTCACGGACCTACTTGCAGCGGTGCTGACTGATTACTTTGTGGCAAGCAACTGAAATATCCAACTCCATTTCAGGTAGGATTTCAGAGAGGCAAATGGTTTCTTTGATATTCAAAGCATTGCGTGGCCAACATCACTGCATTATCAGAAACGATCTGAACATAAAGACGCCAATTTTGTGGATAAGAGACTGTGTTTTATTGAACATGTGCAAAAGTAAGCTTTCAACGTGAGTGCCGCAGAAGCACTATGCTGCTTTTGGGCGGAAAAGTGAAAAGGCCAGAACACACATGTGTAGAGGTTTTTTTGGAAGAACTCGGATAAGTCATTTAGAATGGAATTTGATCATGTGATGTCATGCTTCACGGGCTTCACAGTCTCACCTTGACATTAGCTACAATCGCAGATGTTGAAAACACCCTGCTGCTCGAGTCATGTGGCTGTCCCCTTTAGCCAGCCAGCGGAGTTGCTGAATATCATTCAGCACGGGGGACTGCACTGGTCTTTGGTCTTTGTCTTGATTTGGAATATAGAGAGATCTGAACTGCAGAATAGGCCCCGCCGCACCGCGCCTGATCTCGGTCTAGGTGAAAGCTCAAAAGAACGGCCCATCTGGGCCGCTGCTATTGAGTGGGGACGCCTAGGTACTTGTTACTAGTAACTACTAGAACTAATGGCCTCCACCTAATGGCGTCCTTTGTTACTAGTAGCTTCTTGTTACTAGTAGTACGGCCAAGAGCCCCTAGTAGCGTCCTTGCTCCTAGTAGCGATGCCAGGAGCCCCTAGTAGCGACGCCCTTGTTCCTAGTGGGGAAGCCTAGGCCGAGGAGGCCGAAGCCAAGAAAGTGTGCTTTTTTTTCCCATGGGCTCAATCTTCGAACGAAAGGAGTGTTGCTATATATATATATATGTATTTATATGTATATATTTACCAGGCTACCGCCTGCAGCCGCCGACCCCAAGGGAAAATGTAGTGGCAGGGTTGGGTCCCGGGATGGTCGCGGGCGGGGTCCTGCCAAAATCTAGACAAAGCCAAGAGCATTCCTACGAAAATGCTGGAAAAGCCGTATAGGCATGAGTACAACAATGGAAAAAAATAGGTTAGCAAAAGGTTACCAATTTTGGGGGGAAATCTGGGAACCTAAAAACAAGAGGAAGCGCTAGAAAATTCTTGGAAAAACATCCAGCCGAAAACGTAACAAAATCTAGACAAAGCCTAGAGCATTCCTAGGAAAATGCTGGAGAAGCCTTTGAAAATCCCATAAATCCAACAGAAAACGTGACAAAATCTACGAAAAAGCAAGGGCATTGGCCGGGACCACGCCGCGACCAGCCCGGGATTCGAGCCCGGGACCATTTTGGACCGTGCTTATTTTCCCGCGCGGGTGGAGAGGGTGCCCCAAGATGTAAATCAATTGGGATGGCAGAATCTTGGACAATCCAGGTCACCATCAGGTCGCTTTCAGGTCGCAATCACGTCAAATCTCGTAGCTTTTAGGTCGGGATTTCGTCACTGCAACAAGGGTCCGGAGGGGTGGGGGAGGTAAGGTCTAGGTCTAAGGCTAAGGACTAGGTCTAAGGCTAAGGATAAGGCTAAGGCTTAAGTCTAAGGCTAAGGCTAAGGCTTAAGGCTAAGGCTAAGGCTAAGGCTTAAGGCTAAGGCTAACAGCGACAGTCACGCCTCACCCCACGGTGTGGGGTCGGCGGATTCGTACATACATACACACAGAATTTGTTCGATCCACTTGTAAAGTTTATATTCTGGGATGTCCCCTGAAGATCTTATTGTTTATCAGGAGTTACTAAAGAAGTTATAAAGTTTACAGGACTTAGCTAAGTGGTTAAGTTGTGAGTGAAAAGCTAGCAACTTAGCAGGTTTGCTAACTGGTTAGCTAACTGGTAACAGTTTGTATATAAAAATGCACCTCGGTTAGGTTTTTGTGTTTTCTTAATCAAAAAATATACATTTACATAAATATTCACAGTGTCTTTGTATATTCTCCCTGATAGACATGCTTGTGAATTGACTGTTTTCTGCTTCAAAAAGCAAAAACAATTTTGTGTGTTCATGTGAAAACACATTCAAGTGTGCCTTGGAATGTGAATCCATTGTCCAGGCTTTGTTGTTTCCAAACACAAACAGAGTTAATCTCTATTTGTGTTAGTGTAAAATATTTTGGTTTTGGTTCCAGGTG